ACAATAGAAGTGTCTTGACATTTGTATTGAAAAATTTGACTTTGGTGTTAGTTGATAGTGATTTTGAGTTGCAGACGTTTTCCAGTTGTAGAAATCCTGCTCTCGCTTCACAGATCCATGTCTTTACATGTTCATCAGATCTACCTTGTTCATCAATGAGGCTGCCCAGATATGTAAAGGTTTCTGCATCCTCCTATACTTCTCTGCCAAGTGTGTTGTGTTGTATTGAGGCATCTGGCTTTTCCTAATAAATATATGTGTATATGCCATTATGTACTACAACCAATCCTAACCCTTTATTTATCCTATCTCACCTTACGTTTATTTATTACACATAAACAGTTGATCATAACAGAAATTTATATCAGTATATAATATTAAATAGAATGTTCCGTGATTGAAAATATTCTGTACGAATTGATCAGATTGAGGCATATGTTGCGGGGTGAGTTGGGTTTGAGTTATGCATCCTTCAATAAAAGTATAAATGATATATTTGACTGAGAAACGTAAATGTTCTTATTCATTAGGTAGTGTCTGTTAATATGTTCTTAAAATCAATTTGACTACTCATGAGTAGTTCAAAAGTTTTATTTGCAAAAACATTGAAAACTCTGTAGGTTAAATTAGCTGTAAAGCAAATTAAATGAGATAGTCCCGGTCATAAAATTCCACTCATTAATCCTCTGTCACTCTATTGTAATGAACGAATGCGTCAAGACCATATTGAATAGTAGCATATTTAGAGAAGAGACAAAGCTTTATAGAAAGATATCTACAGTTAGTCTTCATAATTCGTTTTACAAAACAAACAGATTATTGATTGTCTTCTGCTCTTCAAAACACTGATTGCGCCTTCCTATGCTGTAACGCTCGTCTCTAGGTATGCTTAAACTATTACGAGTTTACCTAAGTCGAATAACGAGAACAATGGACCAGCGTCTAGGTAGGCTACTGTGATCCCTTGACCAAATTCAATCAGCAAGAAGTCTTGATATAGTGTAGAAATTGTATTCTACAAACACTTAGCACACAATGAATTCAAGCACTCAAATTGCGTTTATTTATACTTGCCATAGAGACGTCTTTGGGACAGTCACAAAAACAGCACACTAAAATGATACGGTAACCAATCACAGCCAAGGATCTTCCTCGTGGGAAATGAAACTTCAAGGTGAACTGATTAGGCCATGCTCGCAAACGTGAAATCCAAAATTAAGGCATTTAACAAGCGAGATCTTGGGATCTAACATCCCTAACACATTTCAGATATAAAACTAAGTGAAAAAATTTATTAGTCTTTAATTAACGTATCATCTCTACCTGCAGATCTTCTCGGGTTCCTGCCGGTCCCGAATCTGGATGAAGGAAAAGGGTTGGGCATATTGTCTTAGTGCCCGTATCCCGTAGCAAACCAACTCGATAAAAAAAGCTAACCTTAGAATGCTGGTCTCTGGCCCATACTCCATTAGGTACAACAGGCATAAGTAAGTAAGTGCATAAGTGCATAAGTGCATAAGTGCATAAGTAAGTAAGTAAGTAAGTAAGTAAGTAAGTAAGTAAGTAAGTAAGTAAGTAAGTAAGTAAGTAAGTAAGTAAGTAAGTAAGTAAGTAAGTAAGTAAGTAAGTAAGTAAGTAAGTAAGTAAGTAAGTAAGTAAGTAAGTAAGTAAGTAAGTAAGTAAGTAAGTAAGTAAGTAAGTAAGTAAGTAAGTAAGTAAGTAAGTAAGTAAGTAAGTAAGTAAGTAAGTAAGTAAGTAAGTAAGTAAGTAAGTAAGTAAGTAAGTAAGTAAGTAAGTAAGTAAGTAAGTAAGTAAGTAAGTAAGTAAGTAAGTAAGTAAGTAAGTAAGTAAGTAAGTAAGTAAGTAAGTAAGTAAGTAAGTAAGTAAGTAAGTAAGTAAGTAAGTAAGTAAGTAAGTAAGTAAGGAGATTAAGTAGGTA